ATGTCTAAACCACTCAGCAAAACAAATCACTTGGAATACACTATTTACATCCAGTGCTCTTTTGTGTACAAAATAATCCAGTGCACACTCTGACTGTAAGAACTGCTCTGACAACGTGCAAGACAATGTATGGGAACTGGTCCAGACTACCTACAATTCCCTCCCTCCCCACCTCCAGGGACAAGAGGTACATCCAAAATATGGAACTGAGAGATGATGTAAGAATGCCAATGAATCTTTTTGCACCCGGAACAAAACAAAGCTCGATATTTGTTAAGCCATTCCCCCAGAACTGCTCTCACGGATTAATTCCTATAAAAACCTCCTTGTATTGTCAATGCAAAACCAGTTGAAATTGTCAATCTTTAAATCACATCTCATTATCACAGTAGCCACATAAACACTCAGAATGCTGATCTTAAAAGTTCTGTTCCATCTCAATATCTACTTCATGTACCACTAAAACTGTATTTTAATGAAACGTGCAAGAAGGAATCCACTCACTTTATTGTATACTTTTTCTGTGGCTACTAGAAGGAAATCTTTACTTGCAATTTCAGATATTGATTTAAATTCATAAGGTGGAAGGTAAAAGGACTGACATAATCAAGAATCAACTGGATCTGATCACTTTAGTCACAAGAAAGTGAAATGATTCAAACTAGTGCCCAATAAGCAATAGGGAAGGCAAGTCAGGGAGAGGGGAAAAAACAGTCTTTCTTCTAACATGTAACAGAAACATGTGAGAGGTCCAGACAAGTAGAACAGCACAGGGTACAGTGACACTTCAAAAACTTTATTAGATTATGACTTTCAAAATAAATTTTAAAAGTGTGCTTCCAGACGAAGAGAAAAAAAGAAAAAACCACTTTAATTTCTAAATGTGGTTAATTTGTGAGGTACAGCAGGGGTGGGAGAGAAACAGCCAATACCTTTGGCCCAAATGTGCCTTCTACAAAGGACCAGCTCGTTTCTCTCCTTCATTTGCTCATTTCTCCAACTCATTTGCCCACTGCACAATATTTGTTTCCAGCTCTCTCAGAGGCAGGTGAACAGGTCTGTGACCACCAGTGACAGGCATTGTTGGAGTGCACTCCTTCCAATCATCTATCTTAGAGTCACATTAACCATCAAAGATATGCAGAATTCAGTCAGTTGGCTCACACAGGCAGATACTGCAACAGATAAAAATGGCCTCAGGCACTGCAACTCTTGCTCCAAACCCAAGCTGCAGAATATGCCAAAAATCTGCTTTAGAAATGCAAAATAGTGAGAATTCTCATTGAAGAAATGCAAATGGAATATTCAGTTTTCTCTCACATGCCTAGGTATCCTACAGGTTTGAGACAGAGCCTGTAATTTCACAACAAAAAGAAAGGTGTTCTTTGTCACACTGGCACTGATTCACCTCTTATTCAGCCAGTGATAACAAAAGGAAATAATGTTTTTGTCTCCACTGCCCACATTCTGATTCCAGCTGTTGTTTCCTCATTGAGGTGGGAGACAGTCAGGAAAAGTTCAGCTACTTTATAAGCAATTCTGCTGAAAGAAAGATACAAAAACTTGAAGCCGCATGCTGCTCATGTGCAAAGTCATATTGTGGGGGACAATATACTCAAATAAAGGCTGGTGAGAGAAAGAATAAAGTTACACCACGCCCAGCAGACAATACAGTGTCCAAAACCACCAAAGGTTGGTAGTCATTACATTATCAATAGACAGGATGATGTCCCTAAGTTTTCCAACTGCTAAAAGCAGGGATTCACACTGGATATTTCTTAAGCAGAACTTCAGAATTTGTAGTGTAAATACTCAGAGTCTCAAAAATTTGTGCCTTCTGAGAGTTTCTATTTATAGAATCCATGTCAACAGGACTTGGAGATGATGTGAAATAATCACCAGAGGAGAGGATGACAGCAGTCCTGGAGAGCTGCTTTTAATAAAAAGCACAATGTATTAGTCATTTGTCTTTTGAGATCTCAAATCCCCCACTCTAAACTTACCAAGGACAAAACAGTTCCACCCTACAAGATTTTTTTTTTTCGTCTTCCAGATAAGAGCAGCTTAAGAGAATAGAAATTACTTTGCTCTTTAAAGCACAGTTATGTAGTCTATGATAGAGGAAATGAGGCACAAAGGTTCAGGCTGCTGCAGGGTTCCCCCAGTCATGTTCCAGCACCTGAACCAGGGGACAAGCTTCTTGCTTTCTCAGAGATAGAGACACGTGTTTCCTTGAAGAACAACTCGTTGGGGAGTATCCCAGAGGCATCTGATACCTTTGGTTCTGCTGTTTATTAACCAGGCTTCAAGTCAGGGCAAGGCAATTTGCATTTAAGAGTAACACAAAAGAGGAAGAACCTCGGGGATTAGTTTGGATCTGGGAGATTTCTCTTGGTGGAGGAAGCTGGAGACTTTTCCTACCTGCAAATCTATAGCAGTAACAACAGTAGACTGAAACCTCTAATATTAGATCCCAGTCTTCAAATCTGACTCCTAGTAACAATCAGCAGCCTCAGGATTAGGAATAAAATTTCTGAAAATACACTGAGATTACATAAAGTCAAAAATCCAGGTCAGAAAAAGTTGCAAAACAGTGGAAAGTCCAAGTCTGCAAATTAGAATTTCAGGAACAAACCAAAAAAGCTCACTGCTTCATGGACATTTCTCAAGCTTCTGCTTTTTTTTTAGCTTTTATTTTTGCCCTTTTTTTTTGCCCCTCCACCTACTCTGCCTTATCAGACTGACTGAAGCTATGGCCACAACTTCAAATACAGAACAAAACATTCAAACACGCCCGACCATCTCCCAAGGCCAGAAAACTGAATGGCACAATTATTCTGAGGGCAGCAGAGAGATCATTCTCTTAAGAACACCATTCCACCCTGACATTGGTCAGTAGATTTGTGACCAGAAGATCAACTTTTCTCAAAGTTCTGTCAGAACTTTAGAGGGGCTCTTGACCAAACTAATCCATTTGCTCATTAGAAAGAGCTGGATATGTTTCCTTTTCTCCTTCAGGCCTTTGAATCAGAGTTCTGCAAAATACAACATTAACCCAGGTTATACCTCCCATAGGCATTACAAACATTTCTATATCTGCAACAAGGAAAATGTCCTGGGTCTGGCAGAGATGGAGTTAATTTTGCCCATGACAGCCCTCCCAGTGCTGTGTATTGGTAACTGGAGAGGTGTTGGTAACACTGCTGCTCTGGCTCCTGCTGGGCAGTGCTCCCACAGCAGGGATGCCCCTCCAGCATTCCCCCCTCTCCAGCAGGCTGGGGTTGGGGAGGGAACATGGTCAGGACAGTCAACCCAAACTGACCAAAGGGATATTCCTCTGCTTTTGCTTTCATTAAATTGCCTTTATCTGACCCTGCAGTCTTTTCCATCTTGTCTTCTCCCACCACTCCATCCTGCTGAGAGGAGTGAGAGCCCAGACAGGGCCAGCCCACCACAAGTACTGCAACAGGACCACAAGTTTAGGTGAGTTTAGAACATGGGAATAACAAGTTAGTGCTGTTTAGAACAGACCCTTCAGTCTACTCAGGCCCCCCTTATTACTTGTTTGATTGTCATTTAATAGTTCACACTGAATGTTGTTGGGCAGATTATAAACAAAACAGTTGAAGTGTGTTCTAAGCAGACTACAAACTGCTCAGTTGAATTTAGTCTAATTTAAAAAAGTCTTCATATACAGCTATAGATGCCACATAAGCAAGAAATAGGATAGCTCTTGAAACTAATTTCCATAAAACAAGCTTACTGGATCAACTTGCCTCTCCGGTTTTTTTGGCATTTGGCTGTGGGATTACATTAACTGATCGCTATCAGAACAAAAACAACTTTGGATTTATCATTTTATTATGTTCATAATGTGAATTAGGTTAACTGCTACCCGGGCAGCACCAAAACTATAATTTAATAAATTACATCGTAAGGATTATCAGATTTCTAAGAGCCTACTGCAGGTGGTGTGATGAGCAGGTTCACAGCCCACCACTGAGCAGCAGGTTGTTTGGCAGACATTCCTCAGCTGAAATGACTGCAATCATCCCTACTTTGAAGCAAGAGTGTTTTGGAGGAAAAGTTCAAAAGGTGTTTAATTCCCAGACAGTGATAATCCTAAAACTGTCTGTTTTGTTCAGAGACCTGCAGGAAATACCTACTTGACAGATCAAGTCAATTGACCTTCCCTTTCCAGACACCTCTTGCACATTGAAATAACTTTCACAAGAGGAAATGTCAGAGATGTGCAAACAATAAGGCTGATTTTGCTGAAAATGGCAGATAGGATTACAAACTCAGTTTTCAAGTTTATAAAGGAATATCTATATCAATAACATGGAGAAATAAAGTTAGAACCTTAACAAATTATTTATATATATATTCAGGTAAGTAGAGCATATACACAAACTCTCTCTAACGAATACTGACTCTAATCACAGAAAATAATTTAAAATCAAAAGCATATAGATCAGAGAAGAACTATCTCACAGTGTTTCCAGGAGTTCATTTCACAGGAATAAAGAATGGCCTTCTAATACTGTTTTCTTTTGCAAGCAGACATAGGGAGAAACACCATCTGAACTGTAGGCCAATTTTTCAGTAATAACAACCCATACATTCCCCATGGTTTATAGTCTCTCAAATATTAAAACCAGAGAAACCATAGCTGTAACCAATCCTTTGCAGCTTTTCACATGACTTAAGCTACATAAAAAGAGCATTCTCCTTTAGATTACAGACCTGTATATTCCTTTGCAAAAGAGTATCACTGTTATAATGAGATCTGGTTTTCTGAACAGAGAAAATAAAAAGAAGAGGAGAAGTTCAATCAAAGCTCCTATTCAATGCAAGGATTAAAAATAAAGGAAAAGAATACACTAGTTATTGCTTTGCCTCCACCAGCCCGACTGTGAAATTTTCATATCCTTTTAAAGATGTATCCGGAACTTTGTAAAAGAAAAACCCACAAATACACACAAGAAAAAAGTACTCACACTGTTTGGGTGTTGAATGGCAACTTGGTGCTGCAGCCTAACCCGCTGTGGCATCATCACATCATCCTGGAATAAATAGCACACTGTTACTGAACATAAAAAGGGTCACAGTACAGTACTGACACACATCAGAATGTGCTGCTAAATTAACATCATTTTACTGGCTTGCAGTCAGAAATGCAAATGGAACAGATATTAAGAGTCTTCACACTTTTCAGGGGATTAAACTCAGTGCTGCTCGAGCTGGAAGTGATCAAAACTATGATGTGACAATGGCGCTGGGATCTCAAACACACGTCGACAGCACCCACACATTTATTTCTCAGAAACTCACCAACTCTTGCACAACTCCCAGAGCAGCACTGGTAGTGTCAGCACAGGGAACTAATCTTGATTAAAACCTTGATTTGAGCCACCTCAGCAATACAAGGAAATGTTCTCTTTAGTCTGGCTGTACCTTGTTTCATTGACAATGAAAAGCCTTCGGTGTCTAGATCTAGAATTATGTCATATATCACAAGCACAGAAACTAGCATTTGTGAAATGATAAAATTCTAGAGAAAAAGGAAAAAAGGAAAGTACCCACACTCTTAAAATACATCAGCATTGGCACTGGCTTTAAAGCACACCACCTAGATTTTGACTTCATGTTAGTACTGCTTCCACTTGTAGCATAAAGATCTATTTTACTTACATACAGAAAGGTTGCTTTTTGAAGAGTTAGTAACCTTGCATACCTTCCCTGGACAGCTAGGAGAGATTCCTTTCAAAATCATATTATTTCCTGTTCAGAATTAAATCCTTTCTAGACCATGATTTTACAGTCTATAAAAACTTTAGCCCAAATTCTCTTCCCTAAATTTAGCCTCCTAAGGTTTCTGACTATATTGTTTTCCATTTTGGTGCCATATTTCCTCCCTTTTAAAGGATCAGACTTTCTTAGATGCTGGTGAAAGCTAACACAGCCTATTTCTTCTCAAAATACTTCCAAATAACTTTATCAGGCAAACATGATTCAAAGGAGTCCTGATTTCCTGTTCAACAGCCTCTCTTTTAACAGTTTGTCACTCTAAGGAAATTCCTACTAAAGCCAAAAACCCCAATATGGAATTTGCAACAACTTTCACAATAAAACTTTCCATCAAATCAACGGCAACAAAAACATATATTGGTGCTTAAATATCTCAAGCTTAAAGGGTTGAATGACCTTGCTATAAAGGTGCCACTATAGTTTTATAAAAACAACTCATGATGAAAAAAGTTTTAGAAGTAGATCCAACTATTTAATACAATTCAAGGTTAAAGATAAAAAAAATGAATAATAAAACTGACCCTTATCACATCCAAGTTTATAAAAGATGGAAGGAATACATTGCCAAAAGCATTTTTCTGTATTTTGTATTTAGGATATATTTAGTAATTAGCATGACAGCTGTTACTGATTTTGAAAGCCAATGGAGTGAAAAAACCCTTCTGATTTCTCAACGTCTGCACATGACTTACATCAAAACTACAACAGAATTATTTACCATTTAATGCACTTTATCAATAAGGCACCAGAATTCCTGTACTTATCCTGTACAAATGTTCCAATAAAACCTTTATCCTATTTCCCAGAAGAACCATAATCCTATTGCCAAATACAGAGCTGATTTTTTTGTAAATTAAAACCTGGTTTGCACATAAGCAATAGGAGATAACTTTTAACTGAGCCTTGTTTGCTCCTTTACAAGTAACTAAAGATTCTTATATGTCTTCTTGTTAAATGTGAAAAAAAGAGAGAATGAAAAAGAAATCTACCAAAAAGTATGGAATTTCAATGCTTATAACACTGTTACTATAATCTCTTACAAGATACAAAATATGTGCTAAAAGATTCCACTGTTTATGATCCCTCACACCAGAGAGAAATTTAACAGAACTCATACACAGAGGTGAAAAATAATCTTGATTTAAAAATGTTAAATCAGCGTGGAAGGTATTCAAACCAAATTCAAATATCCCATTCACCAAACAGCTCAATGTCATGTTTTCAGCAGAGGACAATTTGACAGGAATGGCCTCGTTCCCTTAACAAAACTGTGTCATTTTGGTGCTATTGGCAAAACACACATGGACAGATCTGGGTCTCAGGCTATCAGGGAGCATCAGTGTTCTGCAAACTCCAGCTAAAGAGGGGGCACTAGAACCACAAAAATGCCTCTTTTTATTAATACAGCTTTGTTCTCTAATGCTGGAAAACTCTATGAACTCTTATCCTGAATGACCTTTGGTTTTTTAAATAATTTTGTCTTTTTTTTTTTTTATTAATAGCTTTACACATCTGCTGCACTGATGTACTGTTCTGTGCTGCTTCCATGCTCATGAAAGGAGAAAGAAAGAAGGGGGGAAAAAAGAATATAATATTTAAAGGTATAATCTCAAATAAAATAATACAGGAATCAGGCAATGAGGAAGAACAGCACAAAATACAAGTCACATCCCAGACAAAAATGAGACACATCAGTCATTCTTGGACTCAGGCTGGGCAACTGTGAAAGAAAGGCAGCTGCAAAATCCACCTTCAACAGACCCTTCACTATTGATGACTGGGCCAAAGTGGAAAACAGAATATATTTATAGCAAAATCATCTTAAGTGATGTGGATATATTTGAGACCAGTGTTTAAAAACCAAATTAAATTCTAATGAGTAAAATTGAAACAACTGTACCACAAAATAAAAGCACTTTAAATTTTTTTTTCAACTTCAGAGGCCACTGGTAGGAGTGAGAGGCCCAACCATGCACTGCAGTGATAAGAGTAATACTGGACAATTAAGAAGTTAAAAGTATTTTATCCAGCTGTACATTATGCAATCACAAATACAATTTTGCTGTATTCACAATATTGAATTTAGAAAACACGTTGCCAGACTTTGGTTTCTACAGTTAGAGTTTGGTCATCTTATTTTGGTTAAAAACTGAGAACAAAACCTCAGTAATTAGACAAACACTTTCAAAATTATTTTTCACTCCTGTCATGTCAGACAGAAAAAAAAAGGGCCTATCCAAATGTAGCCAAAAAAGGGAAGTTTATTTAGTTTGTTTTGGTCTCCTAGGTGAGAGTGGGGAAGATAACAATGCCAGCAGGGAGTTACACTGAATATATAATTTTAAAAACAGAAGCTTAACAGAAGTTTTTACTGAAATTCAATTTTCTCTGTTTACATGGAAGTTTCTAATGGTTGTCCCCTAGCAGATATACAGCAGACAGGATGAAGAGAGAATGAAAGAATGGAAATAACAGGTTTAAAATAAATGCTAGGTAAATGCAAGCCTTCCCTAATCATATACTTGCAATACTGCAGCTAAGTAAGAATGAATCTGTAAAGAAATCTTTTTTCATGTAACCTCACTCACCAAACTTAGCAGAAAAATTTAGAAAAGTCTCAAGTAATAGATGGGTTTGCTGTCACCTAAGTATGTTCATTCATGCAGTGCAAAGAAGGCCAAACAGGTACACAGCAGGAAATAAAGCAACAAACAGAAACTTCTCCAGGCACCCAAAATAACACAGAATTTATAGGAAGCTGTTGCTGTTTCAGGATGGGTTTCTTAAATCAATTTGGATTAATTCAAATGACAAGCATTCACTGGCCTCTTCAACAGGGCTGCCTGCACCACACTGAGCTCCACGGTGATAACATCATGATTTTCCCTGAAAAGTGGGGGGTTCTGAACTTCAGAAAGTAAAACAAAAAATACAGCTCAATGTAAAATACACTTTTGGCACCCAAGGGCAAGTTCACAAAAAATAAGACACTAATTGTAGCTCAGTACTGTAGTGCTTTCTTAGGCTCACGTTACAGACTCAGCATCACAGGCTTTTCCAAATTCCCTTTGTGTTTGGCTGCTCAAAAAATAAAAAAAAAAACAAAACTGAGATCTGATACCCTCCACCCCCATAATAAGAGCACCTTCTTTCTGCTGCAGTTATTACATGTAAAACACAACCAGTAGAAGCACCAGGAGGAATGTTTCACTCACTGAGCAACAGTATGGCATCTCCAAAGTCTTTCAATCCATCAAATGGTCATTCATTTGTGCTGCACCTGCTCAGACCATAGTGAAAATCTTTCTTTGCTATTGTTCAGTTCAACTCCTTGAACCAGGGAAATGAAAGGTCTGGGACCTCCAAAGCTTGGCCTGTCAACAGCTCTACCAAAACAAATACCCAGATCCCAGGCAGTTCTCTAGGGGCAGGTTTTTAAAACAGCCTCACACTATCAAACTGATCAAATCAGGCACTCTAATGGCACCCATGAGTCACCTGAGACTAATGATCTGTCAGTACTTGCAAGATCATAGGAAAAAAATTACTACTTTTCTGTTTCTGCTCCTGAATTAAACTGAGAAAGAGGGGGACAAGAAAAAAAACACTTCAAAGTTTGAGAAGCTGACTGCACTGAACACCTTTCTATTCTTGAGCATGGCAACAAACAGGTCTGCATGGAAGATATACTGGTGTTCTTATGAGCCTCACCATATTTTTATGGAATGTTTTAATTCAGCATCACTACTAGTTGGTCAGAACATTTTCAAAGTAGCTCCCACCTTGGTGCATTTGTTCAATAAATGCAGACAATGCCTTTTCATATCTTGCTTTTCTGTGGTTATTGGAGTTCACCTTTGATTTTTCTCACAGTTGGGCCACTGAAAATAAAGTGTGTGAGTGTTTGCAGTCAAGGGAAGCAGGTAACTCACAAGGTGCTCCATAGCAAAGTCAATAAACTTAGAGAAGAGTCAAATCCTCACTGTCAATTCCAAACACTCCAAACAGAGAGATCTTATGGCAACCAAATCCAGAAGGTTTGCTTTTTCATTTAGGAAACAGAAAATTAACATTGCACATAGCAGATAAAGGCATTTAATCTGTTTTTAGTACAAGCACGTCCTCACAGAACAATAAAAGCAATGGTGTCTTCAAGCACTTCTAGTTTGATTTTTTGGGGCTCATTAGTGGTTCAGAAACATGGACAACTCTTCTGGACAGAAAGAGTCTTCTAGTAATGGAGTTCATCACTACATCCACTTTGAGTAACAGCTTTATTTCAGTTTTTAAATCAGAGGATAAAATTCTCAGGGAATGGCATGTTAACAACAGAAACCAAACACATCAAGTCTGATCATTGTTTTATTTCCTAAGCTATACAGGTGTTCATTTGAAAGGGAGAATATTTTAAAAGTTTCTTAGTGCCTGTAATATATATATAATGGCAACTAAAAAGAAATCCACTTTTTCAAACCCAGCAGGTTATGGAAACAGTAAAACCAAGCAGCTCTGTTTATAACTGAATCCTATTTTGAAGGCTGAAACATTTAACTGAGGTCCAACCTCCTTCCTCCGAGACCTTTATCAACAGCCCCTCGAGGAAGTGGGTTTGAACTTGAAACTCAAGGAACACACGAAATTTCACAGCAATTTAAAATTACCATTCCCAACTTAAATGACACAAGCAAATCTCACAACCAGAAAGGCACAGGTCAGCAGCTGCCACTTAAACATGGGAATGTCAAATCCAGTGGTCCTGGATTCACTGTTGGTGAACAAAACTCAGCTGTGTCCCTGTGGCATTTTCAGCTCTTAGTGGTTTAGAGTCACATCTTTGAACTGCCTGAGAATCTCTGGAATAGTGATACATTGCCAACAGAGCCTTTCAAAAGATTAAAACAAGCGTGTCAAGGACTCAAGTGAATATGACTGGCTTTGAAATACTGCAGGTCAAAAAAGGACACATTTTTATATTTCTCCTTTAACAATCCCCAACAACACACTGATTAAACCTGAAAGAATTGGAAACTCCACAGATGATTAAGATGAAATGAAAGCATGTTCCTTTTTAAAGAAGTACAGTTTTACACAAGTATAGGCATGTTTAAGTGAATGTCAAAGAAAACAGCAGTTCAAAGCAGCAAACAGGATTTTTAGTGTAAGAGTTCTGCTGTGCTGCAACTGGGGAAATGCTTCTAACAAAGATGGCATGACCCCAGAGAACTGACAAACTACAGCTACAGCACAATGAAACTGGTAGATAAAGTCATAACTGTAGACAGTTTTAGGAGAGTAAAGCTAATACTGAAATATTTTGCATAATTAGCTCTCATTTCCTGATACTATAAATGTTAAATATGAAAAATTTGTGAAGTATCTTCAATTTTTCTACTTGTTTTCCCAGTGGGGAAAAAAATGCCTCAGTAGCTTAGAGGTGAAATCTGTAAGAACAACCATGGCAAAAAAACTGCACAATGGCTGTTAGTCAAACAGCTGCCACTTCATACTAGAACGGGCTGATCAAATTCTGACAGTTCTGAGCTCTGCAACCTTTTTTTTCCACATTTCTTCCCAGTTTGTTGTCCTCACAAATCTGTGTTGAGAGACATAACACAAGCAGCTTTACTCCAGCTGGAATGGCAAGCAAAACAGTCTCTCTGGAGCCAGTACTTCCAAAGATGCTCCCACATATGTTCCTACATCCTTTTACTCCGAGAAGACAAAGGAATGCACAAAGAGCCACCGTGTATTTCTCCACCTTTATGCAAAATCCCCATTCCCAGCCCCGTTTCTCTCCACATCCACCTACAGCAAACCTGAAGCTGTGGCTGCACTTCTGAAGGTCAGTTCCCTGGCACTGCTGCAGCACATTCCAGAGGGCTGATATCAGCATTCCTTCCTAGAGAGCTGGATACTGGATTGGTGACTGCAACCAAGAAGGTAGGTGGTGTGTGGAAGCAGAGTTGTTAAACAGCTGGCAACATCTGTGTTTCAGCATTTATCACACAACATTGACCAGCTACAGCCAAAACATTGAGCAATTTTTAGACTTGGAGCAGTTTCCACAGTCATTTTATTTCCTCCAATCTGTTTTCAGCAAAAAGAATGCTAGTCACAGGGACAGACAGCAGAAAATGCATTTAATTAATGTAAATTATTCATTAATTTTGATATTTCTTTTGTATCGAGATTAGGCTTCTCATAGTTCAGAATGCCTGTTTTGAAGCAGAAATAAAAGTGCACAGAACAGAAAATCTTTGTAACTCCTCCCAAGCTTATCCACACTGTAAGTCATAAAATTCTCAGCTCACTTCAAGTAGATCTTAATGATATTAAATATAAGCTTATGCTAATGATAATATTGCAGAAATACAAAATCATCACCTGTTATATTCCTTAGCAGTTGTAATTTCTTTCCCTGATGTTTTGTTTTCCTACATAGTTAGCCAGCAAACAGAAACAACACAGCAGCATGAAGATGTACACTACATGGTAAATAACAAATGTAGAATTCTGAAGATATTACTGTAAAAATATGAATTAATTTCATTTAGATAATTTAATTCTCTAGCTTGCTGCTTGTGATTTACAAACAATTAGACCTGTCTGGATTGAAAAGAAAGACCAACCTATAATTTGCCTCAGTAAATTATTTTCAGATAGAAGATATGAAGCTCCATGAGACAATGGTAGATTAATTTCTCATTCATGTACATGTGGACTCAATTCATTTCAGTCAACATAAGTACATATGTAACTCATACAGACTGCCTGGAATGCCCCCTGCAATGTGAGATCTGTCCAAGCCTGGAATACCTGAGCTTTGGAAATCATAAGATCTGGGGTTTTTTTCATTTTAGATATATAAACAGCCTCACTGACTCCAAACACAGGAGAGTTAAATCATTTGTATAGACAAAATGGCACTTGGCTTTTTGTCTGCCCAAGTAAAGCAAAAAGAACTTGATCCTGAGTTCATCCACCTCAGCACAACTGGCATCACTCCAATTATTTCCTGGCATAATTTATGAGGTCCCTCCACTCTTCCATGACGTGCCCAGTCAGGTGACCAAAATCAGATCAGTGGCTTTTGTGTTCCTCTTTCCTCAGCACACTTTGTTTATGAAATGGACGCTGATGCTCAGTGCTGGATAGGAAATATTTACTTTTTGATGTCTGTGAAAATGACCTTTTCAAACCCCAGTAACTTCACCTTCCATAAACTTATGTACAAAAATTTACATGAAATACACTCTGTAAAACAAACAAACACACACACACCCCCAAACCAACAAACTATTAAATGAGGACAAATTCAAATAAACACATTTTACAAGGCACACCGAGCACAGTAATAACTTAACAAAAGCAAGAATAAAGGCCAAGAAAACAACCTGCAAAATGTAATTTTTCAAATGTACAAGATATTTCAGCTGCATTTCCTTGGGTCAGCAGAAATATAGCACCTCTTAACCACGTCCTGCAACAGTATACTGAATAATTCACAGAATTTTAACACATCCTTATCTCTGGGTTATTGAGCTGAATGGCTCCACAGAAGGTATCCCACAAAGGACTGGGAAAAAAATTCAAGATGGAAGGTGAGACCTCTCCTGCTTTGCATCAAAAAGCCACAGATTAGCTCTTAGTTTCTCGTCAATACAATTTTCTGTAGAATGTGGGAAAGAAAAATCCTGAAAACACCTAAATACCAACCTGGCCCAGCCCTGCTCACACCAGCCTGTGAAATCTGATATAATCAAAGAATGGTGTGAGGCTTTCTACAGGTTGGAAGACAACTTTGGAGCTATAAATAGTAACCAGCACATTTAACACCCAAACACCTTTAAACAGCTTGTCTTTAAGGCAAATCAAACTGTTAACAACTACATTAAAACCAATAAAATTATACCAACAAAGACAAAATGCGTTAACTTACTGAATCCAGAAAGCAGAGATAGGCTCCTGAGCTCTGAATTACTGCTTGATTTTTAGCAAATCCAACTGTTGAGAAAACAAAGATAAAATTACGGGGTAGTTTTTACCATTGTGTTTTTTTAAATCTTACTATTGTCAGGAACAGATGAAAGAAAATACGAGAATCGGTATCACAGAAAGTCCCCGATTCTTCCATATTTAAAACAAGGTACTTTGTAAATATTTAAATAGGATGCCTACTTAAGTCTTCTTCTCTGAGTGATTATCAGCATTCTACCATCAAGCAGAATTAGAATACTTTTGCTGGCCCTCCATAAAGATATAATATGTAATGCATATCTTGAGAAGTCCAGCTCTTTAGGTTTCACATCCAGAACCTCAGATCACTGAATCCCAGAATGGTTTGGGTTGGAAGGAACCTTTAAAGTCATCTAGCTGTTTAGGTTTCACATCCAAGACCTCAGATCATGGAATCTCAGAATGGTTTGGGTTGGAAGGAACTTAGTTCCATCCCCTGCTAAGAGCAGGTGCTGAAAACCCTTGGCTGTATAAACATTCATCTTTAAAGTCATAAAAGAGGCAAAGAAAGATCCAGAAACTGCTGTTCTTCCCATCAGGTGGACAGGTCCTCAAAAGGACTCAAAAATTAAGTTCTGTTCTGTGATGCTTGTTAAATATAAAGTTTGCAAACACAAAAACTTTAAGTGCCCTTTGTAATGCAGAGGGGAGCCAAAGCAGGATTGATTAGATATACACAAGGAGCACAAAGCTGGCTAATTTATACCATAACATCAAATACATCTGCAAGGCAGGAGTGTTTACCTGGGATAATTTCTGCTGGTAGACAAGGTCTACCTAAGAACATTCTGAATTCTTCTCCTGGGCAGCATTATATGAAAAGAGCACACTGTATCCAGCATCATTCTGAAAAATTCTATATGAATTCCACTTGGTCACATACGTAACACTTCAGCTTTGAAGCATTTATGGAACCAAGTCAGGGAATCCAGCAAAGGAGTGCCCTGACTTGCAAACCAAATGATGTGAAGATACACAATACAATATGAGAGTTTTATTCTTTAATGGGAAAACTGGAAATGTAAAGCCAAAAAATCTTGCCATGAAACAGAGGAGAATAATTTTAACTAACATTATCCCCAAAGTTTCAGATTTTGCATTTGAAAAATGCAGACTTCTCTAATTCTCTACTCTTTTTATGTGATAAAGTTTAAGTTTGCTCAGGGAATAAACTTAACTGGGCTCAAAGGTTCCCTGAGCTGTAATGCACGTGCTCCTTGGCTATTTTGCTGAGTTGTCCAAGCACAGAAAAAGACTTATGACTGCATTTCTTGCTGCCTCCAAGGAACATTATGTCAACTACCACCAGAACACTACTAATAAAGGCTCTTCCTTATAACTCTGTTACTCTTGTGTACTTTAATCCTCACTTAACGTCTCTTCATCGTGGATTTCTTGAACTTATGATCTTACAGTTTAATTACACACTACCTTTTATACACATATGAATATCTAATCTCACATATACAGTGACTCTCAGTCTGCTTCCTATTGGCAGTGAAAAAGCAGCTGGCAAAGACAGGAGCTGCCCCAACAGCAGAGCTGAATCCTGGCACCAGCAATTTTAGTGGGAAACAACTGATTGCAACTCAGCAGGTCTGGACATGCCAAGCCAGCAAAACCCCAATACTGAGGAGGTCCCTACTAAAGCAAGAGGTAAAAGAACAGGACAGAATTAAAATTTGCCCAACATCAAACAAATCAGCACCATCATACAATTCATACTTTACAGCAATTACCAAGTGTAAACTAGCCTGTACTTACATTTCAATTAATTTCATTGCCATACCCCAATATTTCAACAACCTTCAGCTGACAATAATGAAGGACAAAGAATCAAAATTGAAGGAAAAAAGTGAAGGAGCAAGTACAAGATGACAATTTTTTACATGATAACTATCTTACTCTATGAACTTCCTGAAATATTTCAAATCTCATTTTCAAATAAACCACTTGAAATAAAATCATGAAATATCTAGTATTTGTTATGAGAGAGAGTTGGAAAATATTTCTTTCTCGGATTAAGACAGAACCATCCTGAAGCTTTCCAGCTATTTTTTAGAGAGGAGAGAAGAAAATACACATATTTCTTAAATTATTAATAAGGGAGATATAAATCCCCATAGAAAAAAACTAGGTATTAAAAATTGCTTCGCCATAACAAATTCTATGTTTGGCATGAGTAAAAAAATATCTTTAATATTACTCTACTGAACAAAATGAAATGTTTGTGCCAGGTCTCTGAGTTTTGTAAGGCCTGCTTACTTGGTGAAAAGAGCCTGTTACCATGGTTACAGCCGTAAAAACTTAAGCCTCAGTGAGATATTAACATTCCTCACTCTTGGAAAGAAAAAGGTTTCCTTTTTTTAGGCAAGTGACCCTTTCTTTTTTTCTAGGTTCCCCCCCCCCCCTTTCTTTTACATGTTAGAAAAGAATCAGAAATAAATCCTAATCTTGTGTAAATAGTTGAAGATGTGAAGCCTGACTAGGACATTGTTTCTGTACCAAAGCATCTTCTTTTAAAGGCAAGACTCCTTACAGTTGTACCTAGTCCTTAACATAATAAAAGTAAATCACTGAAAGCAAACAAATACTATGGATTTCAAGTAACCTGCTCCTAAAATGTAACAACTGGGAAGGAAAGATGTCTTTGTTTTAATGGTGGCCCAAGAGTGACTTCCACATGAATGAGCTTTGTTTTTTCAGCACAACTATGCATTTCATACTATTATTTAAAACAATGCTCACAGCTGCATCCCCCATCCCCAACTAATTAAAGATCTGCTCAGGTTGCAGCTACACCAACGCTGAGAAATGCATGTTAAGCCAAAATATAACCTGACATGTCCCTAATGGCACAATGTACTTGGAATTCACAACAGGAACTCATTTTTAGGTTCAGTTTCCTGAAGTGCAAAGGTGAACTGAAGTCAGAATTCTAACACAAGTTATTATCAGAGCATCGTGCCTGTGTGTTCTGGCAAACTAAAAACTAGTTTATACACAACTGATACAGCACTCTATAAGCAACAAGACTTTAGACATAGAAAATGTTTATAAAAATGGAAAAGATATTACACAACACGATAGTATTAACAAAAACATTACTAACCAACCAAGTATCATAATTAACAACCTCTGGGATTATTCTTTGATTTGAGAAATTGCAACCTTCTTAGCTTCTAGATCATCCACTACTAAGAGAAGTCAGATTTGAAAGGAGATTGATCACCCCCAGTGGAGGGAGGGAAAAAAAGAAGACAAATTTCCAGGAATACGAATAATTCTTGACATTGCTCAATTCCAGCTGTATCAGTGGCCCAAAAGAGAAAAATTCCCTCTACAAACCCTGTCTGCCTTTTCTCATCACCAGCCCAATAATGCTAATATTGCAAGAGCTGTACTGTCAAAACAACACCAGTTCATGTTAGAGATACTAAAATACTAAAAATATTTATAGTAACAGTTATGCTGTGTTACTTCAGTATTGCTGGGTCTGACAACTGTTTAAAACCAGCTGTAAAGTCTACAGTCAGAGAAATGAGAGTAAATAAAGCCCAGGGCCTATACCAGGTTGTAGATTAATTCAGTGCCCAAACTCCCAATTTATTTGCATGTTTTGACTGGGGATGAAAATTAAACCTCCTGAAACAGAACTGGGCTTTTGCATAGGAGGATCATTTTGAAGAGACTCTAATAAACCTTGGTTTCTCTCCACTTACAAAAAGGGCATTTAGTTAAAAGCAGAAACTGTCCAGCTTTTGATATTACAGTGTTTCCAAAGAGTTATCTCTAAGCAAGATAACTTGGAAGACACAAATTTGGACCAGTTTTATAACAATTCCTACCTGTCTACTCATTGCAACAAAGTCCAGAATGACTGAAACATTAGTTCCACAGCTCCCCTACAAAATGTGAGCACACTGTTCCTGCTTTGTCCTGTTCTTCTCCTCCACAGACAGGATCTTCCAACTTCAATGTCACTCAACAGCAGCTTCTTCGAAGAGCAACGGGCTTGTATTTCTATTTTATGTTTTAGGAAGCTTTTGTGCTAAAAAACCCTAAAGATAAACCAACCAAATTAAGCAAAAGAAAATCTCTTGGAGAGATTTGTTTGTAATCTCCTGCAGTGGGGAAATGTGATTCACATGAGCATGTAAATCAACAGGGAATCACACCATACACGTATCTGGCAGCCCAGTAAACATACTGGGTTAGCCCTCTGAGTGAATACTTAGGAGTTCAGTGAGAGCTTTTAGCTCAATCAAAACTATTCTGAAACCTCTGTTTATATTTGATCATCAAAGGGATCAAAACCGTATTTTTTTTTTCTATTTCAAGGCCTATTTTACAAAACTGAAAGAAATGCATACACTTTTTAAATCTTCATGTACAAAATCTTACATTTCTTTTTGCTGAAAACCCATCTCCTGAAGACAAATCAGATATCAGAAAGCCACAGTAAAACTGTAAGCATTAACAACATTGTGTACACTACAATTAAACAAAATTCTTTTGCAGAGTAGAGCACAAGTGCTAAGCCAAGTTCTTCTTTCCTGGACATATAAACAAATTCTACACATCCCAAACCAACAGGGCCAAGTTCTGAACTGGAACGAGCTTTTGAACGGAGAGCTCTGGAAAACAACGTGGCTTTTTTCCATTGCAATGCAAATAGCTACAAAGACACTTCTCAAACTAAAACCCAGAAGGTGCCTGCAATAAAAATCTAATTCTCACAAAATCTCTATTAAGCTACATACCACCTCGAGGTTCAGATGAATCATTACTCCCAATGATTACTGGAATCCCAACTTCTTCCAACTTGATCTTCCATTTTTCAATTATTTCAGCTGACCCATCCTAGAAAAAATAATGACATAGATGCAGCTATTTAAGTTTGCCTGGTGAACTAAACCAAAAATTCCTGTCAGAGACAGTTTTTACTTGACATTTTTTTAAGGAAGGTCTGAAACGTACCTTACTGGCATCATTAAAAATTGACAGCTCCAGGGTTCCTTCAAAATCTTGTTCCCAAACTGACTTTAAGCATTCATCTAACCAGCATTCACTGTTGTAAACAGGCACAATGACAGACTACAAAAAAAACAAACAAAAATCCACGTGCATGTCAGTAAGCACTATTTTTGTTTACTTACAGTATAAGAACATTTATTAAAAAGGGGAAGTGCCAGATCCTCCTGAAACTAACTTTCACCAAAAAAACACATCTTAAAAACATGCAGGCAAAGAACCTTTATTTTCATCATAAATATATGATTTGCTTTTTGCTCTATTGAAGCTTTTTTGAAAAATTTCTTTGAGTTCTACAAGATGGTTTTGGTAGAAGTCCAATAGGAGAGACCACTGAACCAAATCCACTAAAAAAAGCCATCAGTAACACCATCCTAACCTATTTATGGTTTTCCTGCATTTCTTAAGACACTCTTTACTTCTGTCTTCCATTAATACATCTTATTCTTTAATTTTTCTAATTGGAGATTCTCTAATATGCAGCCTGGACCTTTGGGCTCTAGCCAAGTTTTTAAAAATTATTCAAACTATAAGTGCTCTTAAGCAAATCAGAAGTTGCTGTATGATGTAGTTCCATACTCTGCCATCCAAATTGCAGGTTTTCCTCTTACAGCCTCTTGGTTCAGACGTGCACACAAAACAGGAAAACCTGAGAAATTTTGAAGTTGGTCAGAAATCAGAGACGAGGGGTTTCTCTGTTCAGTTACTCCCCACCGTTCGAATTATCCCCAAAAAAGCCAACAACCCCCAAAATTCTGTCAGGATCTGAAAAAAAAAAAAAGAACATATTCCTTTCACAGAATTCCAAGTGCTGAGGAATTAGCCCACTAATACACTGGCTATGTTTGTAAAGGGAAAGCCCAAGCCTATACCTGTTAAAATTGCTGATAGATGAGGAACTTAAGGGCCTAAGTAACTCATAAAAAGTCTCAGGGGACATTTCAAGAAGTCCCTAGAAACAGAACTTAAACTCCTTATTGTGTGGGGTAACCATAAACACATGGTTGGAAGAAAGAGAGGATTAGTCCCTATTGTGAGCAGGCGAGAACCTCAGGAAACAAAATACTGGAGGGATCCTGAAATTGAATTATTCACGATTTAGTGCCATGTGAGCACATGTAAATCGTGTGGATACACACAGATGAATATATTAGTAGGCAGATTTTTAGACACTGAGGAGCACAGGTAGGACAGAGCAGGATGTATGGGACAATAATTAACAATATTTCACCGCCAAATGAAATAGTAAACCTGACCAAAATGAATGAACCTCCTGATCTTTGGCAGGATGATGTAGCAGGTGAAAGGGCTAGTTAAAAGAAGTAAAAGGAAAACTTTCTAAAATTTTAAGCAAAGCAGGCCTTTGACTTGTGTTTTGGAGAGATAAATAAATAAAATAAGGAGAAACAAAAAAAAAAAGAGAGAAATTGATTACCCAATAATTATAACATATAGACAAAAAAGATTATTTCAGAACTGTCTCTGATTAGTACTTTGAGAATACAACATAGCCACAAATCTATTCTAAACTAATATTCAATTTACTCAGGATTTTAATATCCTTTGTGTCAAGGTGGCAATTAAAATACAACCTTATGCATTCATGAATAAGGTATATACATTAATGAATCTAACACACTTATTCAGGAAAAAAGGGCTCCACAACTCTTTCACTGACAACATAAATTTGCTACTATTTTGTACATCCAGAAAAATCAGTTATTTTTTTGTTTTCTGATTCACTCAGTAAAAATTTGACTACACCGTCACAAATGAGCTTGAGAACTGGAACTTCTTTGCTTTTTTTCCATAGTGAACTCCTGTTTTAAGTCAGAACAGCAGTGCAAAATAGCAAGATGATATCTGACCTCCCTGTTCAGTTTGAACTGAAAGCAGAGAAACCCAGCACTTCTATACAGAACATATAAAACACCCATAAACACCTGCTGGCACTGAGGTGCTCTAAACTTGACATAATAACATAATATATTACTATGCTCCTGAGCACATTACTGAGAGCAAATTCTACTTCCACAGAACTATGCCCACCATGCAGAGCTGCCAAACTAAGGTACAGAGCTGAACTGGTGATGACACCTCTGTGTAAAACCTGAAAAAACCACAAATCCACACAAATAACTGCACTCAGAAACATGATGAACATGCCAGAGCACTGCTGATGTTGTACACTGGAGTTTCCTCAGGTTCCACCATTCTTGCTCAGCTCACTGGTTTTCTGTGTTTACTTTTATTTTAAGCCAAGGATGAATCAAAAATCTAAACTTTCATTTCTCCCCAGTCCATTACTACATTTGTACTCTGGCTTAAGTGTTGCAGTTGGCACCTGTGCTGAACTGGGCAGTCATAAATTGGCCTTTATCTTCCTGTGTCACAACACTTCAACCTCCCTGGATCATTTAAAGAGGGAAAAACATGAACCAGGGCACTATTTCACTTACTTTGCATTCTCATGGCAAAAATCCCAGCTGGTAGTAACTTCAAGAAACTCCGTCTGCTTCTTCTGTCCCAAAACAAGATCAACTACAGTTCTATCACTGCTGACAAATCCTGTCTCCAGGGAGAAATACAAACCCTGCTAAGGAAATCACTAAAAGTAGGGATAAGGGAGACCTGGAATACAGTTTTCCCAGTGTCCTTTTGCTGCAGCTTATGCCAGCATTCCCAACTGAAGCACAGGTGATTAATTCCAGTTCTCTTTTCATATATTTGAAGACTGCTACCATAATAGTGAACTACAAAAATACGTGTATAGCTCTCTCAAATCAATTTTGAGTGTTTGGGACATAAATTGCAAACAACTAATGTGTTTTTATCGACATAAGATCATCTGACTGAGTCAGAATGACCATTTCATTAGCTGGGACTGATTTATAGCAGCATCAACAGAGGAGTTTCATGGCCTATGAGCCAAGTGCGACTCTTAAAACACAGAGCTATGAATCAAACCTGGATTTGAGCACTGTGACACTGCCTGGGTTTCCCTGAACTTCTACAGTGAGATCTGAAGTGATTTTGGCTATTTTTAGCCATGTGGTTTTGCTATCACCGAGCTGAAGAACAATTCTTGGCTTCGCTGCAAGGTGAATTTTGTATGGCAAAAATGACCCAGTGTGAAATGGGTAACAAGTGTTTCAATCCCCCTTGGTCCACAAATGTATCACTCAGCCCCAAAACTCCCTCCCCTCCCTCAGTTAGACCACTGAAAAACAAAACATCAGTCACAAAACTGAAGAGGAGGAAGGTGAGGCTTTAATTAAAAAATATCGTTGTCAGAAATTGTGTTTTGTGATGTTTTTGGTCTCACCACCACCACCCTCCAGGAATCTGGATGACAAACATCTCCAAAGGGAAAACTTTGAGTTTCCACCAATTTCAGTTCCAGCAGCCTCCTACCTGCCCCCGTATCTCAAGGTAGGAAATAACTTTGGAAAAGCATTTTAACACTGCTGAAAATGTATACAAGTCATAACTGCTATTTTTCAAAGAAGTTTTCCTACGAGCCATTATTCCAAACTATTTCCAAACTCAGGGCTGTTGGTGGAAACACACCAGCTTTGTCAAACCTCATATATGGGATACTTTAAATTAAATTGACTTGAATTAACCCAGAGAGATTTTCAGGCCACAGACTTTAGGATCTGAGACTCTGTGATGTTGTTCAGCATTTTTACTTGCCTGTTGATTTGTATGTTATTATTTTTCAGGCATTTGCCAGACTAACCTTAAATTGTTGCCAAACTCCATCAGCTGTGTGTGTATAAATTTAATAGATGCAAGAGACATATGTTTGTGTATGCTTTGCTTATATATAAATTTTTTATATTACACAATTTTGACAGATATGTATAATTTTAATAAATGTAATAACAAAACAAATGCTTTTATATATCTTTATTATATCATTTCTACAGATATGTATATATTTAATAAATTTAACAGCAAAGCTAATCTTTATATATATCTTTATTACATACTGTCTACAGATACATATAAATTTAATAAATGTAACAGCAAAATTAATCTTTATATATATCTTTATTATATATGGATACATGTAGATATATAGAGACATAGAGATATACATATAGATATTACTTATATTATATATAGATAGATATCTCTATATGGATATATTATATATATATAGATATGTATATTATATATAGATATATAGATATATAGACATCTATAGATAGATATACAGATATCATATAGACAGATATCTCTATATAGGTAAATAACTCTACACAGATAGATATATACATATATTATAGGTAGATATATATCTATACAAACATAGATTTTAATATACATCTAGAAGTATTATAGATCAATAACATACTTCCCCACCTGTCCTCTAACCACATTTTTTACTTGCAACTCCCCAGCCTGCACTTGATCCAAAACGCTGTGTTCAGCACTTTAAAAAAAAAATTCGTAATACCCTTTTAATAATCAATATTGTATACAGTTATATATATATTTGTATATATATTTATATACAGTTATATAAATATAGAGACATAGAGAAGAGACAGGGACATATATAGAGATATGTGATATAGTTATAGATATTTATGTATTTATATTTTAATATTTAATATATATTTATATATAATTTATATATTTAATAGATATATAAAAATATTTTCTTGCGGTGAATAACCAATGCAGGAAGCGCTGCAGGAATATTTCCCCACTCCCTCTCCCATCCCCGTACCCCACCCGCGGTGCCGCAGACCCTGACCGGGGGGAGCCCCGGCCCCTCCCGAGCCCACTCACCCGGGGACCCCCGGCCCTGCCCCACCGCCCCCGACCCTCACGTACCACCTGCACGGGGGGCTTGGGGGTCCGCCCCGGGCCCGGCCCCGGCCCCGCCATCGCTCCCGGGGCCGAGCAGGAGGAACAACCACAGAGACGGGCCGGGAGCGGCCGGAAGTGACAGCGCCCCCCGCGGCCGGGAGGGCCCGGGGAGAGCCCCTGCCCGGGATGGGACACTGGGGCCTGGAAGGGACCCTGGGCTTTGGAAGGGACCCTTGGCCTTAGAAGGGACCCCTAGCCCGAGGCTGCTCTGCCCCAGGCTCTGAAGTGTCTGGCTGTGGAGCTCCATATCTTATTTCTGAACTTATTTATTTATTATAGCTTTATATTATTTATTGTATTTATTTATTCCTCAATACATGCTGCCATTTATATTATTTATTGTATTTATTTATTCCTCAATACATGCTGCCATTTATATTATTTATGATGTTTATTTATTCCTCAATAAATGCTGCCATTTATATTATTTACCATATTTATTTACTCCTCAATAAATGCTGCCCGCCGTCCTGTTTGCTGATTACACTGTTTTTTCACTTTTATCTCCATGGATTGTGCCTTCCTTGGTCTTGAGCTACTGTGTTCTGTGCTTTTTTTTTCTTTATTTTTTAATAATCGTTAAAAAAGGGAAAGTTGTCAGTGGTAATGATGCCATTATCATAGAATGACGGAATTATAGAATGTTTAGGGGTTGGAATGGAACCTTAAAGACCATTCAGTTAGTTCCACCCATGGGCAGGGCCACCTCCCACCTGACCAGGTTGCTCAAGGCATTATCCATCACAGAATCACAGAGTATTTAGGGTTGGGAGGGACCTCTGGGGATCACCCAGTCCAACCCCTTGCCCAGGCAGGGTGACCTGGAGCAGGTGACACAGGAACACGTCCAGGTGGGGTTGGAATGTCTCCAGAGAGGGAGACTCCACACCCTCCCTGGGCAGCTGCTCCAGGGCTCTGCCTCTCCCATGGGAAGAGGTTGTCCTTATGTTGAGGTGGAACTTCTTGTGTCTTAGTTTATGGCCCTTGCTCCTTGTTCTGTCACTGGGCACCACTGACAAGAGTCTGGCACCATCCCCTGACACCCACCTTGGAGATGTTTATATCCATTGATGAGATCCCCTCTCAGTCTTCTCTTCTCCAGACTAACCAGGTCCAGCTCCTGCAGTCTCTCCTTGTCAGAGAGATGCTCCAGACCTCTCATCACTGCCAGGGATGGGGCATCCAGAACTTCCTTGGGCAACCTGTTTCAGTGTCTCACCACCCTGACAGTAAAAAATGTCTTCCTAATATCTAAGCTAAATTTCCCCTCTTTCAATTTGTACCCTTTACTCCTTGTCCTACGGTTCCTGACTAAGAGTCCCTCTCTGGTTTCCCTGTAGGCCCCCTCAGATACTGGAAGGTATTTTGATATATACTGGAAGATATTATCAATAATTTACTTACTGAAACTATGATTGTGCAACCACTTACTCCCTTGAAAGTATTCGCAGCTAAAAAGGATTGCAGGACCGGGCCCTGTACAACAACCTATTCAGAATTATTAAAATTTACACAAAGCAATCTTTGTTGAGCAAAATCCCGAGATTATCCCTTGTTTATCTGAAGAGCCTGTTAAACAGCCAGACAATTCAAGGAGCAAACAGGGCAGAGTTATCTTAAAATGTTGGTTGGCACACACATCCGAGAACTGAGGAGGTGAGCGGGACAGCCAGGCAGTAATTCCCCCTTGGAATCTATTTCAAATTATCTACACAGCTTTTCTCCGACCAGCCCGAGTTTAATCTCTCTGTGAACAGCGCTGTTAAATATGATCATTTCTGTTCCTGGCGACAGAGCTGCTGGCACTTTTATGTTGCCTGCGTGCCTTGCTTTATCTAAGAAAGTGTAGCAGAGTATTGCTTTACTCACCCTAAACCAAACAAAAGTCCCAGTCAGGGACAGTGCCTCATTATGCGAAGCAAAATGCAGAGCAAAGCCCTTCTCCAGGAAAATACAGACCCAAACAAACCCACCAGAAATGTTTTCTAAGTTATGTTCTGGAGCTGACCACAGAAGGTAATTAAATACAAACTTCTGCTTAGAAAGTGATTTCATTTGAGGTGGGTTTGGATGGACTTTTAAAGGTCCACGAGCATGTGGAAGCTATTCCATGGGATTTTCAGGGCAACCTAGGCAGCTAATGCCCATTGTGAGAGCCCTTACCTACTGGCTTTTGAAATTCCACCAAGCATTTTGTGTGTTCTTGGGCAACTAAATAGTTTCCCAAATGCAGTTGATTGTTTCAGTGCCCATTCCTCTTTCATGTGGGTCAGAATGGAAAGAGATCTCCCAATGCTGTTGTGACAAACTCAGAAACAAGCAATGGTTTGGTCCTAGTTGTACTTCCAATTGCTCTACTTTAAAGCTCTTACAGAGTGGTGGGGAGGAACAGCTCACAAAACAGCTGAAAGCATTACAGACTCAAAGACATTTCTCATCAAACTGACTTTTAGCTTTTATTTCTGACAAATCGGTCTCTTGAGGATTATTACTGTGAACCTAAAGCTTTCAAATTCTGGAGGCTTTATCTATCAGATAGAAATTTTCCTCATCCTGATGGAAAAACACAGTATCTAGAAAGTTGTTTTCCTTTCTTTACATTTAACTGAAACTTCTAAAATTAAACAGACTCACAGTATGAGCAGCTTGGACCTATTGACTTGTGAGGGCAGATCTCAGTTGATTTCACTGTGAGTTTAAAAGAAAAAGCAGAACTGCTTGTGTAGAACATCATTGGGGTTATTGAGGCCAAGGCATCTTGGGTTTAGTTTGTTTTTTAAAAGCTCAAGCCCTAACTGAGGTTGAGCTTGCAACAAATCTGCTCATTGGTGTTGTAGAGCTTGTGGGCAACTTAAATTAGTTGTATCTTTATTGGAAAGACAGAATGAGTGAATACACAGTTTTCTTTTAACAACATCTATTGCTGAATTTACAAGCTTCAGTACTGAAGTATTTCCTGAACACACCATGTTGAAAGGATCATTCAACAGAGTAGGCAAAATATTCAGCTTTGAGCTAGTCTGAAACCACTTCTATTCAAAGAATGCTTTGAGCTTCCAAAAATGCTACATTATTTTCATAAAATGTCACAGCTGAGTGGCAAGAGAAGAGGGGGGACAATATTTGTCATTATAGTACTATAGGGCAGAAGGGGACATGAGAAGCTCTCCTAGTCCTGTCATCCTGAGACAGGATCAAGTGACAAACACCTGACATCATCCCTGACAAACACCTTGTAGCCCATGAGGCTTCATAACATCCTCAGCCAATTTATTGCAATCCTTGCTATCTTTGCCCATCAAAAGAATTTCTTAATATCCAGTTTAGATCTTGCTGTGATTTCCAAGCCCCCTAAAATTTGGCAGGGTGAGATCTTTTCCCTCTGGGAAAAAGATCCAGACACCTGTCACCTTCCCAGTATTAGAGCTGTTGAGCTTGAGCCTGCTGCATAATTTTCCCCTTTTGTAGAGATCCTTCTTGCTCTCTCTCTCTCTCCTTCCACAGAATAAAATCTTCAGCTCCCAAGGGACAGTTCCTCAGTTTGAATCCTCTGCTAGTAACAGTAACTTAATATTTTACCTCAGGCAAAAATTATCCTGCTTTCCTCCTGCCTCAGTTGATTTGGTGCTTTGCATTTTAATCCAGATGTAAAAAGTTTTGCTGGGGTATTAAAAACAAACAAACAACCAACCCCAAAAAACCCAATAACAAACCCCTTGGCACCCCACCCTGCCTTTTTGCAGGCCTAAAGAAAGACACCCTTTTCACAATCAAACACACTGAGTAAATACAACCTAGGAGGCCAGTAACCTGCCAAAGAGAAGAGCAGAATCTCTTATAAAGGACACAGCCCACCATCCCTTCAGCCTGTATCTCTGCCCTGAAAGACTCCTCAGCCCCCTCCTTCAGGGGTCCCTGATAGGATAGCCCTCTCCCGAGTGGCTTTATCCCCTGCAGCTGTGTGCCTTCTCAGCTGCTTTCTTGCTAATGCCTATGTTAACCCTTTCTTTGCCTCAGGAGGCTTGCAAATCCCATCCCAAACCCGCTATTCCTGCACACAGAAAACAAGTCATTCCCTTTGTGAATTTATGATTTTACGAATCTGCAAATTGTTGTTGCCTTTCTCTCCCATCCCACTCTCTTGTTCAGGTTATGTGTGTCTGATCAGTTCAGTCCTTCCTCGCTGGTTGTGTTTTAGACCTGTTTATTCTCCTGGCTTTCTTCTGGATGCTCTGTGGGCACTTTGAATCTCTGCTGGAGAATGAGCCCCAGCGCCAGACCCGGCCCAGCGCTGGGCAGAGCAGGATTACCTCCCGTGTCTTGCAAGCCATACTCCTGTTTGCACAGCTTAGTGCAGTGTTTGCCTTTGTCACAATGGCTTGACACTGTTGACTCCTAATCAGCTTGTGATCTATTATATCCCCTAGATCTTTTTCTGCATGAGGGAAACAGTATTTTAGCAGTTTTATTCCAGTCAGCCACATGAGAAGAAAATGACTGAAGTAGTGTGAGTGAGATTATCTGCTTTGCACTTCAATACCAGGATTGTTTACCGGTTTCCAATTAGTTACATGTGTACACCCTGCTCAGGGAGTTGCACAAGTGTTGCTAATGCCTTCCTTTGGCCTTCAGAGCCTTTATTACTATCAGGGACTAGTACCTGATAGTTATTTGGGCCAATTTCCCTGTGTACTCAAGACTTCAAATGCTCTGCTGAAATTACAGAGCAGGCGTTATTGTTCTGAAGAAATCCTCTTACAATTTAGACATATTGAGTCTGGGTAACCTCACTGGAAACTGCTGCTGCTCTTTAGAGAGGAACTGTTGTGTGATACGTTTCTGTCTCTGAAACATTGGCTGTCGTTAGAAAGGATGTTGCTGTTGCTTGTTTCTCTTTTCTTCTTTTCAAATGAGTCAATCTGAAGAAGCCCGTGGTTGTTTTTATGAGTTGGTAAATACCACAAATATTCTGTTAACAGGAGTACTGGACTTAGATACCTCTGTGGGCTAACTAGAAATATCCCATTCATCTCAGAACCAGTCCACACCTCCAA